TCTTTTCTACTTTTCGTTTATCCGAAGGTGATCCAAAAAAAAATATTGCATTATGATGAATGACTAAATTAAGAAATATCATGCATTACAAATGAAAAAAAGCTATTACAAGTATCGATCTTTTGATCCTAGTTTCGAATTTCGACTCGCGTTTCGAATTCGAACATAGTTTGGACTTGCGACTTAAGTTTCGACATTTCGACTTTGGAGTCGACCGGAGTATACATCTGGAAAAAAAAAAAAAAAAAAAAAAAGATCTCTGTTTATTTACAGACCGTTTTGACATTTACAATATCATGCTTGAAACGTATTACTCCTTTTTGAGTTACAAATCAATTAAATTAAATGATCTTCTTTGCATACAATATTATGTAACCCAGGTTAAAAATATACCCTCGCATTGATGCTAAAAATAGCCTACATTTTTTAAGGGATATGGTGCATTATTTGGGTGGATCTGCAATCTACAACAATTTTACAATATATTAGCTCATTAATATTTATCATTTGTTTAAAAGGTTATTAGAAACAATATTACTGTTTCGTTTGGATAAATAAATTTTTCTATTGTTCTTTCAAGTTGATCTTTCAGGTAAAATAGAATAACTGTTTACATGAGAATGTTTCAGGTCCATAACTCATCTACTCCGTAGATAATGAGGATATAATTCATTCGGGATGGACAGAGATCTTCAGAATCAAAAAGTTGACGTTACGTAAAAGTGATTTTGGCAAATATCCTTCTTTAAAAGCTTTTGTAAGTGCGAAATGAATAAGGCCGGATCGGACTCCCATTATAATACCATAGAACAAGATTACATAAGTCTATTTGGTTCCAACCTTTAGGAATTTTCGAAGGTAAATTCATTTCATTAGATCGGCATATATATAAACCAAAATGAATATTAATGGCGAGCAAAAAGTATGAACCAGTTACGTTCAGACGCGTTGAGATTAACCGTGGTAGGCTAGCACGTTAATGTGTCAAATGCAATGGGATCATGAAAACGACAACCACCGAAAATTTCTTTGAGATTTCGTTTAACATGAATTTCATCCAGAATTTGCGATCCAAAAGCACTTCGGCACAAGTAATGGTGTTTTTTTTTAAAGAAATAAAAAATAAAATGAAAATGTGAGAAGGGGAAAGTTTAAGAGAAAACAATTAGTGCATTATATAAAGTCAATTCGTATGTCGCGTATGTCGTGAGAGAAAAAAAAAAAGATTTATGTGATCGCCCCCGGTGTGACCGATCAATGTTACATAATGTAATAACTATGATGTAGTAAAAAATAAAAGTATTTAAATATTTGTGATTCATAAAAATGTAATTATACATTTAATATATAATCGTTTCTTTTTTTTGATTATTCGTTCTTGATAAATTATTGAGGTTAATCCAAACTTACTCTTATTCAATATTGTATCACGTCACATTTTGCCATCGAATTATTGATGACGTTCTAGACACGTCTAAAAATGTCCCAAAAATAATGCATGATATCAGATAACATCTGTTTACATAAGAGATAAAGTACATACTCCGGCAATCCCTTAAAAACCTTGAATCAGGTTGAAAACTCTCCTGATTTAAAATGACAAACAAATCTGCAAGAGGATCCGATCCAATCTGTAACAACCTCATTCGAATTATCTCATGGTGGATAAAAATAGTCTTACATATTTAATTTTTTTTCCTCGGGCTCGTGTAACCTCCCGTACATTTGAAATCCTCATTTTGACAAAGAATTCGTAGTTTATTTTGTACTTTGATAGCTTGATTTGGTCAACTTACATAATGAGTGGTCGGAAGAAATTGTTTGCTGCATTAAAATAAGACTTCAAGAGAAGCCATCTTTTTTGTTTGAAAGTAATACAAAGAATATTCTTAATTTTAATTGTGATCTCGTTTTGTTCGCAACACCTGCAAATGACTGCGCACCTGTTTCAATAACACCGAATCTATTTTATTTTGTTTAAGAATTAGAATTTTTTTTGAAAAAAATTTTTTTTTTTTTAGGTCAACCTTTACGTTTTATTTTGACATGATGTAAATCGGAAGGGAAAAGGGTTTCGAAAAATAAAATCACAATGTAAGTTTTTTTTAATTATCACTTATTTTGTTGCCGGTGATGATTAACGCCTTGATTAATTAAATATTACTAAACTCGGAAACACACGAATAAAAAAAAAACTGCATCCAAAAGGGATGTTCAAAGGTCATAACCTAAATAAAGGAAACAATATAATAAAAGTTAATCTTCCACATGAGTAAAACAATAGATAACAGACAAAGGATGATCGGGACAAAAAAAAAAATTAAAATTTGCCCAATTATGATTTGTTGGATTAGGGGCACACATAGAATTAGAGGTGCTGGTTAATCCAGGTACTCAGTAAAAACATTTCAAATTACACAATCGTCTAAATTTAGTTAATGGTTTTTCTTAAGAAAAAAAAAAAAATTTCTTGACTGAAATTGTCACTGAGGAATATAATAAAAAAGTAAATGATCTCCACCCCCACAAACAAATGAATTTCTGTGAACGTTCGGGATAATGAAACTCGAAAGATTTCAACGCAAAGGAGAATATCGTGTTTCAATGGATTTCAATGGATCAGAATTTCTATAAATACGGCTCATTTGTCACGAAAGATTTTTCTCCATCCAAAAATATTTCCAACTCTTTCGTTTCTAACCTTTTAATTTTCCCTTTAAAAAAATAAAAGGAGCAATAATCCCCCGGACGGGCTCTGTTGACTCTACATATACAAAGTTTTTAACAAAAAAAAAAAAAAAAAAACACACTAAAATTCTTCTTACTTTCTAGCAGGCTAGAACTTCTTTATTTTCTTTATTTTATATAATACATATTTTAGATTTAGAGATTTTTTCATTTCCATTTTTTTTACTGATTCCCTTTTTAATATAAAAATTACTAAATCCATAATGAAGTTCTCTTCTGCTCTCATCGCTATTTTCGCTACATTTGTCTCTACAGTTTCATCACATACCACCATATCATTTCCTCCACCAAGAGGACATCCATTAAATGAAAATGCAGCCGTCAAAGATTTTCAATGTATCTCGGCACCATTAAATGGTGGTTCGGGATGCGCCCCAAAAAAGTTTCCATGTGGTGGTTACCCAAAAGATAAAAAGATCGTTACAACTTTTAATGCCGGGGAAGTTTTTGAGGTCAAATTTTTTAATCAAAACTTTCCCGAATTAAAAGATGAGGATAAACAAAAGGATCAAGCAAGGCATAACGGTGGAATTTGTGAATTCGCCTTATCTTATGACGGTGGTGAATCTTATACTGTCATTGCCACTTATAAAAAAACTTGTCCTGATATCTTTTTCGACGGTTGGAAGGTTAAGATCCCAGAAAATGCTCCTTCTTGTGATGATGCCGGGAATTGTATCTTTTCTTGGAGTTGGGTTAATGCCTTAGGAAATAGAGAATTTTATCAAAATTGTGCTGATATTAAAATCGTAGGAAATGCCACCGAACCTTTACCTATCATTGATATTACAAGAGCAAATTTACCTCCTCTTTTCGAGAAAATTTTAACCCCTGAAGGTGATGATTCGAATAATGGTAATGCTGTCGGTTCCGGTCCAAGAAAAGAAGATGTTGAAGCTAATTTGGCTTTAAAGATTGGCAATGGAAAGAATCCAAAAGATGATGAAAATCCCAAAGAACCCAAGGAAGACGAAAATCCCAAAGAACCCAAGGAAGACGAAAATCCAAAAGAACCCAAGGAAGACGAAAATCCAAAAGAACCCAAGGAAGACGAAAATCCAAAAGAACCCAAGGAAGACGAAAA